GAAAATGTACTATTTTAAGAATACACACTGCTTTAGCACTAAATTGAACAATCCTTTCTTAAAAATACACGATAAATGTTAGTAAATTTGATCGTACAATGCAGTGACCATAAAAAAAATAGAATGTTTATTTGTTATTCAGTTATCGAAAAAGTAATGCAAAATTAATTCAGCACTTTAAGAAATTCACATTAAAGAGAAATAAATCATCTCTAATTAAATCAATAAACTCATCTATTAATTACTAAAAATTTTAAAAAATCGTAACTCCAAAATTACAGTAGCTAGCGAAACGCGATTTTCAATTTAAGATTAGGATTAGGAATAATACACTCACCGGCAAAAAAACCGGCTACTAAAAACTAGTCCCAATTTCAGAGTTGGATTTCTCGCGAACCACTCATTAGATTTTGATGATTTTTTTTTAAATTGTAAATTAATTCCTTCTTAACGGATGCTACGTCAGAAATTTTTTTTCATATACAGGGCACAACAATAAGACGAAGTTTTTTGCCCGGACTTTGTAACACCCTGTAGGGTGCAGCAGCTGTAGTAGCTATTGCTAAATCAAATCACATTTTAGCCTCATCTTTTGTGAGTATTTTGTTTTTTTAATCACGACATTATCTCTGTTTGTATTGGAGATACGCTGCTTTAAAACGAACGTCTCGGAAAATGCTCCGCAGGCAAAACCGCGATTCATCCGTGAAAAGGACTTTAGTCTATTGCTCAGTATCCCAATTCACATGTAAACGCGCAAACTGAAGACGTGCTCGACGATGTCTTGGAAGTAGCTGGGGTCCTGTGGCAGGCCTCTTTGCAGACAAGCTGTTTAATTTTAGTCTTCGTCGGATTGTTCTTTCACTGACTTGAGTTCTACGCACGGCTTGTAGCAGATACTGATTCTGAAACGCTGTAATTCTACGATTTCTTCAAGTATTCAGGACAATAAGAGGTCGTCAATTGCATTCCGTTTTCTTCCGGAACCCGAGCCTGGTGAAATTTCCTGTTTCCATATACCGATTCCAGACATCCTGGACTGTTGTTCTAGGTATACCCCGAGTATCGGACACAGAACGTTGACTTCGGTCATCCTCAATTAATGCCACAATACGAGCAACATCCGTCACAGATAATGGCATTTTTTAATTTTCCAACCGTTTTGTCATGTTCCAAATACTCATAAACCCGTTTTCGCCTATGTCGCCTTGATTATTTATACATAAAACTTTCTGCCTGCGAAGCATTTTTCCGAGACATTCGTTTTAAAGTAGTGTATCTCCAAAACAAACAAAGATAATGTCGTGATTAAAAAAATAAAATGCTCACAAAAGATGAGGTTACAATGTGATTTGATTTAGCATAAGCTAGTACAGCTGCTGCACCCTACAGGGTGTTACAAAGTTCGGGCAAAAATCTTCGTCTTATTGTTGTGCCCTCTATATGCTCAAAACAAATTCGGAATAAAAATTTCTGACGTAGCATCCGTTAAGAAGAAATTAATTTACAATTTAAAAAAGAAATCATCAAAATCTAATGAGTGGTTCGCTAGAAATCCAACTTTGAAATTGAGCCTAGTTTTTAGTGGCCGGATTTTTTTGCCGGTGAGTTTATTTACAACAAAATTTGTAATAACATCAAAATCAGTCAAAATCGCAGTTTTCGAGATAAAAAAAAATTGGGAAAATTCCTTTACTTTGAAACTAAAAGAACTGCCTACCAATTTTTTATTAACATATTTTAGGTCTTTGATTTTAATATGGGCGGCTATACGTGCAGCCAATTTTTTATTAAGTAATCCATTAGTATAAATTTAACATTACCTTTTTATATTAATTAAATATTATTTTATAATTATTTTTAATAACTATAATATGTTTATAAACGTTTAAAATAGTTTCATATTAACATCGCCTAAATACCTGATAATTTTAAAGTGTATTTTGTTTGACACTTAATCCGCTAATACGAATATACCCTGCTGGCAAGAGAAACCTTGGGTCGGCGTTTATATGTATAGGAGTGAATCGCTATGGCAATCTAGTAAGTCGGAGAGAGCAAAAATACGAAGTATTTATTAGATAATCACTTAATTTGACGGTAGATTCCATGGCATTCTGTCTTTATTCAGTACATCTTATTTTACTAAGCGTGTTGACCGTACTCTTCGTACACACGAAAATCAGCACCCAAGACCAGAAATGCCGATTCTAGTATACGTTTACTACAACATTTTTTAACTTTCAAATTTAGATTTTAATTAAAAATATTCACCCATAAACTATAAATGAACATGAAAATTTCACACCTCTACTTTTCAACCAATAACATGCTTTAATGTTGACTAGTTACCATGGCAACTGAAAAAATTTTCGGAAATTTTTTCGAGGCGCCACGAAACTTTAGTGGAAATTTTTTGACAGTTGAAAAGGTAAACATAAGATCTACAATCATAATGTGAATGAACTACAATGTCTATATATTGAAATATTACCCATTTGAGTTTTAGCATTTGATGTAACTAAGGTTGGTAATATTTTTTATTTAAGGAAATATGTTAGATATACCTACATATGAATTTCTTCGAAATTGCCATGTTCTAAAAAATATAGTTCTGCCGCCTTTATTTAACTAAAGCTGGTATTTTTCTATTTAACGAAATATGATGGATATACACTTGATTTTGATTTTCGGGTGTTATCTGGTTTTATATTTTCAATTTCTTCTTTAATGACTTGTTGGTTTACTTTTCCAAATCGCGACATTTCGCTATACACTTCTTACTCTACGTACAGACGTTTTAAAACTAGTAATAGCTTAATGACAGAATCGCAAACAAAAATGACAAAACACATAATATGTCAAAAACATCAATACCTTGGCCAACTTAACAAATTGAAATTATTTTAAAATGTCATGTTGGATTAATATTTTTTTTTTTCAAATTTAGGTGTGAAATTTTCTTACCGAATACCACGCAAGCTTAAATTATTCCTGGAAATTTTCTTTCGGGCACGAATATTTTAGGAAAATTATCAGGAGTCGAAGACGAGGGATAATTTTCAAAATATTCGTGCCCTCAAAAAAATTTCCGAAAATAATTTAAGCTCTTGTGATATTATAAGTGATAAAAATTTCATTAATTTCTTTACCCTCAACTTCTTTTTTTGTCGTCTCAATTCTCCTTCCAATAGATGTTTATGTTTTTAATTATATTACTCACTTTTTTAACGACGCCTTTTTTACTTCGATGGTTTACTTTATAATGGCAATTTTTTAATAATGTTAAAATTTTATTTAGATTTTGATATAATAAATTAAAAAATATACCGATAAATTTTGAAATTAATTTACGCGTCTAATTAGATGCTAATGTAACAAAAATTAATAAACGTGTTTTTCCAGTAAACAATCTTGTTTATATTTTGCTTTACCTCAAAACAGATCGACAAGGAATGTTCCATGCTATCCATTTATTCATATATTCGTACATTTATTATTAAATATTTTACATAAATGGTAATATATTAAGCGTTTATAAAATTACCTTATTATAAAATAATTTTGCAGCTAATAATCTTCATTATCCTAAACATTAAAGTGTTCGATTCTTATTACGAGCTGATGTTTTTTTTTATATTATAATACATATACAGGGACCGGCAATAGCGCGTCGGGCATCTGTAGCTCCTAGAATAGAAAACTTGAGAATTTTGTTTAAGTATGTACCAGGTTGTATTTCCGGAAAATATTTTAACTTCTATAAGGCGGCTGAAAAAACTGTGAGTGGATCTGAATGATTTTTCTTAAACGGAACACCCTGTATATTATTGCATTTTTGGCTTCCTTTCAGATCACTTTACATAATCCTAAGTTATGAGTAAATCTATTTCGATAGTTTCAGAGATATTAAAAAATGAATCAAAAATATATATTTTTCAACCCTTCTTAAAAAAAATATTAAAAATACAAGAACGGTCCTGATATAAAAACTATATTACTTTGCTATAAATATGGTAATCGTAAATCATACAGGATGTTCAATATTCTACACCAAACTTTCAAAAATATAAAATATTTTTTCTTCGTTTTTTTAAATGGAACACCCTATATATTATTTTTTTATTAGATGAAAAATTAAAAAATGAACATTTTTTGTATTTAAAGTATTTCAAAATTTTTAATAGTTTTCCGGATACACGCGGTATTATTTCATATGGCGCTTTCAATGGTAAAATACGAGAGAAAAATCATTGGGTGGCTTTGTTAGAAATTTACTATGGAAAATGCCATATGAAATACAAAACCGGGAATATTTCCGAAACCGTTAAAAATTTTGAAATACGCTAAATACAAAAAATGTTCATTCTTTAATTATCCATCCATTGAAGAAATAATATACAGGTTGTTCCATTAAAAAAAAAACGAAGAAAAATTATTTTATATTTTAGAAAGTTTAGCGTAAAATTTTGAAAATCCTGTATGATATACGATTACCATATTTATAGCAAAGTAAGTACAAACCATCTAAAATAAATATCTAATATAGTTTTGATTTCAGGACAGTTCTTGTATTATTAATAATTTTTTTAAGAAAGGCTGAAAAATATATAATTTTTTTTTTATTTATTTATTAATATCTCTGAAATTATCGAAATATATTTACTCTTGTCTTAGAATTATGTAAATTGACCTGAAAGGAAGCCAAAAATGCAATAATATACAGGGTGTTCCGTTTAAAAAAAATAATCCCGATCCACTCACACGTTTTTGAGCCACCCTATAGAAGTTAAAATATTTTCCTGAAATACATCCTAGTACATACTTTAGGTCTGCACTTAAACAAAATTCCCAAGTTTTTTTATTCTAGGAGCTACAGATGCCTGACGCACTAATTCCGGACCCTGTATGTATGCTTTTGGTTATTATCAAAAGCTTCAGTCTAAACTGAATTTCTGCTCATTATGTATAGGGAATTAATATTTGTTGTTTATTTAAAGGTATGCTATTGGCAATGCTGAGCGTCTGCCCTACCGAATTGGCTGGTTGGATAGTCTGGCCAACGACACAAATCAGCAGTACTTAGAGAATGGCACTGGTGGTCCAAGTATTAAAAGCAGATACGTTACGGCATTGTATTTTACGTTTACGTCACTGACAAGCGTAGGATTTGGCAACGTGGCTCCAAACACCGATGCGGAGAAAATCTTTACGATCTGCGTCATGTTGGTTGGATGTAAGTAGATTATCTAATTTTTAATTAAACTACTCAAAACAATTATCGCATATTTTCTAAAAAAAATACTAATTTGAAAAACAATACGCTTTGAATTCCCTGACTTACGAATTTAAATAAGTAGGGATACTGTGAAGTAGTGATGGGAATACCGGTTCCACAATATACCGCGATTTTGTAACCGAGGTTCCAACTTCCAAAGTGTCGCGGTCCTCGCTAAAAATATATCTAACTTATCTATATTTGTAGATTAATGTAACTTTTTTTTCCGCCACTCATTTTCCAAATATCGAGTTTATAATTGTGTATAGCCCATCTATCTCATTTTTAAAAAACGATGACATTCGGTGACATATTTATAGCAATATAATATATTTAATGTTAAAATCAAGAACAAAGTCCCAACCACTGTCAAAAAAATTGTTTATTTGCATAACCTAACCTTAAGTTTAGAATGTATAAAAGCAAATAAAATTTTATTTTATTTGCTTTTGCGTTTTATCTTTCAAACAACGCTATTTTATACCATGCCTAGTACATACCAAAAATCGCTATTTCGAAAGTAACGTAGGGACGGGAGGTATAGTAACCGACCAAATCGCGACAGGCAAAACCGGAACCGTAGAAGCGCTCCAGCGACTGCTGGAACTAAGTACGTCGCCGCCGAGGTAGAGCGTCGATAGCGAGTTACAGCAGGGACCAGTTACTTTTGTTCGCGACAGACGGAATTACGGCTCTAGGAGCGCGACGGCTGGAGCGAAGTTACGTCGCCGCCGAGGTCGAGCGTCGATAATCAGTTACAGCAGTTACCAGATTCTTCTGTTTGCGACAGGCGGAACTATGACTCTAGGAGCGCGACGGCTGAAGCGAAAACGCGCGACGCTACGTACATACATACCAGTGCCAGTTGACTAAACACGTCGCTATGCGGTTACTACGGTGCAAACTAACTTCAAGAGCGTTTATAAATAATTTATTTGCAAATTATAAATAATTTATAATTTTGTCGTCATTATGATCGTCGTTCTTCAGTAACAGATTCCTGATTCGTTGTGGAGCGCGACACTACGTTACAAAAAAATACCGCTCCAAAATCGCGTTACTCAAATACCGACACATCACTACTGTGAAGGAAAATGCGATACGATAAGTCTACGCGTTAATCTGTAATTTTTAGTCGGCTGACTATTTAGTTGCAAAAATAAAACAATACATGCTCACACATACTTATGAAGTAGATCGGCCGACTATTTCATTGCATGTTAGCGCGACTCTATAAGAACATATCAGTTATAAAGTGTTTGCGCGAATTGTTTTTTTAATTTGCAACAGGGGTATGTAAACGGTATACAGTATACGTCTACAAAAACCTATGCTCAGTACTGCAAAAACTTGTCATTGAACATGAACATATTCATGCATATAAAATATACATAAATACATATGTACAGGGTGGGTCAAATTCTACGCTTTTAAATGGAAACACCTTTTTCTATATGAGTTAGACGAAAACTAATATCGGTGTCTGGAGCTCAATTTTCATCAAAAACATGATGGTGAAAACCGCACATCAATATCTGTTACCGTTTCGGAGTTACGGGGTGTTTTTCAAAAATGTGCATTTTTAACAAATGGCTGTAACTTTTTTGCTATGGAAAATTTTGTATTTCTATGAAAATATTTCCAAGCAAATTAATAATTTAAGAGTTTTCAACAGAAAAATATATTTTTTATTTGGGACACCCTCTATATTTTTAATTAACTGGAAAGAATTTAAAATTACCTTTCCAAAAATATAGCACACTTGATATTTTGTTATAATCCCCTTCGAAATACAGAATATTTAAACGTTCGCCACTTTTAACTAGTAGGCTTTGGACCCCTTATTGATGATATGCCCTTAATGGAACTCGAAAACATATTTTTCCAGCAAGACGACGCACCGCCTCAGAACACTGAAGTTATCAGCAAATTTTTGCAGCCAATTTCAAGAATAATTGAATAGCTAACCAAGTTCCCAGCCGTTGGCCGTCGAGGCCGCCTGACTTGTGCCCATGGATCTAATCCTATGGATATATTTGCGGAAGAATAAAGGTTCTTTATTCTTCCGTATAATCTAGACAAGAATTAGAAATACTTAGCAGTTATGAGAGGGTATCTTTCACCCCCACTGAGTTAATGAATTCCGCGAGAAATGTTCAAAAACGGCCCCGTCTGTCCATAACAGAAAACTGTCGATATGTCGAACACCTGTAGCAAAATCTCATGTCTTGGTTTGCTATTTATTTTTATTATCCCAGCCGTTGGCCGTCGAGGCCGCCTGACTTAGTACCCATGGATCTAATCCTATGGATATATTTGCGGAAGAATAAAGGTTCCTTATTCTTCCGTATAATCTAGACAAGAATTAGAAATACTTAGCAGTTATGAGAGGGTATCTTTCACCCCCACTGAGTTAATGAATTCCGCGAGAAATGTTCAAAAACGGCCCCGTCTGTCCATAACAGAAAACTGTCGATATGTCGAACACCTGTAGCAAAATCTCATGTCTTGGTTTGTTATTTATTTTTATTGTTATTAGATATAGTTTAAATGCGTTGATGTTGGTTAAATATATTTCAAATTGTTATAAAATTCTGCATCTCTCATAGCAAATATTATTTTCGTTTTAATTGATTCTCACAGCTAGATTTTTTTTGCATTACAGCTGGTGCCGTTCAAAGCCTACTTAATTAAAACGGGCGAATCTTTATATACTCTATATCTCGAAGAGAAATCGAGCAAAATATCAAGTGTGTTATATTTTTGGAAAGGTAATTTTAAATTATTTTCAATAAATTAAAAATATACAGGGTGTCTCATTTAAGAAATCAAATTTTCTGTTGATAATTCTTAAATTATTAATTTAAAAAAAATTATACTTAAACCATTAAATTCTACATAAAAAGGTGCTTTGGAAATGTTTTCATAAAAATACAAAATTTTTCATAGCAAAAAAGTTACAGCGATTTGTTAAAAATGCATATTTTTGAAAAACACTCCGTAACTCCGAAACGGCAACAGATATCGATATGCGGTTTTCACCACCATGTTTTTGACAAAAATTGAGCTCCAGACACCGATATTAGTTTTTGTCTATTTCCTATAGAAAAGGGTGTGTCCGTTTAAAAGCGTCGAATTTGACCCACCCTGTACATGTGAATTTAAATAAAAGCTTATAATTGATAAATTTAAAACTTACCCTCAATTTCGTTTCCAAAGAAAAAAAATGACGAAAAAAAATCCTCAAAACGCTACAACGCGTAATACGTAAGTAACAGAGCCTAAGTGTACTTTCTCTTTCTTCTGCAATTGAACTGTAAATTGTGTAAAAGGAGTAGCTGGATTACCATATTTATGTCTTTAGGAAAAGTATTATATTAAATAACGCACCTTATATTGATAACAAACAAACAATGTGCGGACACAATGGCGTCTTTACCCTTGGTCACGCTTATGAATACCCTGAGCCTAGATGTTTCATAGAAGACGCAACGTGATTGGATAGATTTGATCATGTGACAAGATTTTGTAGTGTCGAGTATAGGTTTCATATACGTATAACATATTCCATTTAGATTCCTTCTGCTGTAAAAAGTCTAACGATATGATTGGTAGATCTAATCACGTGACTAGATTTTATAGTGTCGAATAAACGTTTCGTATATGTAGTCTATATACCATTTCTATACAATTTATTGATACTGGTTATATACGTTTCTGAAATTCAATATTTTTATATTGGAGTTCAAATTTATCAAAAAATCACAAAAAACAGTTTGATAATGACTTACTATGCCCTTTGTGTCTGAACTTTTCAAAAATTACGAATATAACAGGCTTGGTACCAAAATCGAAATATTATACATATACTTAAAATATATGTTTGGAATATACGTTAAAAAGCAGTATAATAATGTTCAGTATAATAAACGTATATACTAAGATACGGAAAATAAAACCCTTTAATATGCGTATATTATACGTTGCATATAAAAAAGTAATATGAAATACGTATATTATTTATACCTTTAAAAAAATATACAATATTTATACGGAGAGTACGTTTATTAAACGTATATACTCTTGAACGGTGTTGCTTGGGTAGATTTACGGATTTTGGGTACGATACGTTAATAATGCGGATTTTCTATCATTAAACAATTTAATATAATACTATTTGATTAAACAAAGAACGTCGTCATAGTTGGCTTGGAAATTAAGACCGTTGTTATTTCATAGGTAAAATATTATAGTAAATGTCAATAGTCGTCATTTCCAAGCCAACTAAACGACTTTTTTCGATCATTCTTTTTTTCGAAATATTCAGTACTTATAAAAGAATTTTTATTTTTGTTATTTATTCTATGTTTAATACGAATAAATTTTCAATGCATAAACGCGAATTTTTCATCCAAAGATATTTTCGTCAAACGTATTACAGATATTACATTTAAATATGGCCACACTGTCGCTGTCAGTTCCACACCGTCTTCGATATGTCTTCGCCATCCAAATTAAAGAAAATGAGTATCTTATGCGTTGGCCGCAGAACGAGTGGGGACTCCACTGTACAGTACTTGAGACGTAAGGAAAAATCAAATCAGCCTTGTCACGAATCTGCTCATTAGATTGCGTATCTTCCCAATTCTTTCAATCGGCGCTATTACCATATTCCTATGTGATTATGTTATTTAATATTGGTTATCCTAATTTTCCCTCATTATATATTAACCAATAATACGATTAATTTTAATTAGATTATTGATTTCGATAAGTATACTTTTTTGTAAAAAATATGGTATTGACAAAACTATTGTTTATAGCAGATATTCTGCTTGCGTTTTATCAATATCTGGAATGATGCAACCAGAATTCAATTTAAAAATGAGTTATGTATTTATTCAGATCCGTTTGTTTTCGGTCCGCTTTTATCACGTTTACAACCCACATTTGTTCCA